GGGGGGGGGGGGGGGGGGGGGGGAAATCATCATTTCAAAATACTGTAGAGCCTTTTTTTTTTTTTTTACATTTTGACCGGTTTGATAAATCACCTGTTACAGACTTTTTATTTTCTTTGGTAAAGAAAGGTGGCGACTGTATCTTTGCTGTGAAGTTATCTGGGATAATTTTAAACCTTTTAACGTATTTTAAGCTGCCTCTTTCCTGAAGACACGTTGGAGTAGTTTTATGTCTTCCTTGTGAGTTACCGTATTTTTCGGAGTATAAGATGCACCTTTTTCCCCCAAAAGAGGGTGAAAATCTAAGTGCGTCTTAGACACTGAACACGGCATTTTTGGCCTACCAAAACCCTCCCCCCCCCCTTTGCAAAAATGGACGTGCAGAGGGATTGGGAGGCCTGCAAAATGTTCCTGGGAGCTGGGGAAAGCAAAAACAAGTGAAAATGGGCCATTTATTTGCCTGTTTTACCCCCCCCCCCGCCCCAGGAGCCCTCTGCAGGCCTCTCATACTCTCTGCACGCCCCGTTTTTCACAAAAAGTGAGGCATGCAGAGTGCAAAAACTTTTTTTTAAATACACCTCTTCAAAATCTTGGTGCGTCTTATACTCCTGTGCATCTTATAGTCTGAAAAATACGGTAGTTCTTTAATGCAACTGGCCTTGGCATTTCAGGGGAGGGGAAGTGATTGTGCCCTCTCTGACCATGTTCTTGTTCGCTCCCCCCCCCCCACCCTCCCCCCAGGCTGGAGAAAAGCATTACCACCCGACCTGTGCCTCCTGTGATAAGTGCAAGCAGATGTTCGCTGAAGGAGAAGAGATGTATCTCCAAGGTAAACCAGAATTACTGGCATTTGTGGTGGGCCCGTGTCTCTAATCCAAATATTCCAACCTTGAGATATCCTGTTAAGAATTAAGAGTGATTTGTTTTTGAAATGGGAGGCTTAATGTCTATGGATGTTCTCGGTTATCCAGGCCACAGTTGTCTCAAAGGCAATTTTTTTCGAAAGGCAATTATGATTTTTCCTTGAGAAAGAAGAGATTTCACTCCTCATCCAAGAAGTTTCACCAGTTCTGACTGATGAAGCTTCAGAACCGATGACGCTGCTTGGTTAAGAGGCAAAACGTCTTCTTCCTCAAGGGGAAAAAAAACCCAGTCCAGTTGCCTTTTGAGAAAAGCACCCTTGAGAAATCGGTGGCTGTTTTTCAACAATTCCAGTAGCAAAAAGAAGGTGTGTGCTTCTGGGGTGGCCCAAACAGCTGTCCTCTTTTCTGCAACAGCTGGCTCTGAGAGCACCTGAAGTATGAGGAGCAGCCAGGTTGCAAGTTTTCTGCTTAATATGCAACGCCAGTCAGAATGTCCGCTCGGATAATTCACCCGGAGTAAGGGAAATAGAGTAAAAATATAATTGGATAAACAACTATCATTCCCCCACCCAAATGTATGTATATTCTGTATTTCTCTAAGGGTGTAGGACAGGGGCTCCCCAAACCTGGCAACTTTAAGATTTGTGGACTTCAACTCCCAGAATTCTCCAGCCAGCTGAAGAATTCTGGGAGTTGAAGTCCACAAGTCTTAAAGTTGCCAAGTTTGAAGACCTCTGGTCTACGACAACTCATTGCCTCCAACCTGTCGTTGCCAGCTCACCACCGTACGTTAGCCGTGGCAAGATGGCCGTGATGAGATGCCCACAACGAGTTGACCCATTCCATATCTATAAAGCTGCTGCTGCTTACTTACTAACGCCCGAATAGCCTTTGTCTGTTCAGTTGCAGAGACATCCAGAGGGTCAAAACACTCTCCCACATTCTTAGAATCGTGCCAATAATTAACTCACCCATGGAGACACACATCGCACGTCCCTCTGACCGGGATTTAGCCTATTCGCCCCGACTCCAGATAAATGGAGCAAGCCTCATTTAATTCCTGGCTGCCCAGCTAGATGGCAGCATCTGCATGGGAGCTGGAAGGTTAAGGCCCAGCCAGGAGTGGGAGGGAAGCCCCCACCCCACCAGAGAAAGGCTGTGGGGAGCTTTGCAAAGGTGGCATCCCGGGGTACCCTCTGTGAAGGAGCTGGGACCGAAGGGGGCTCCCCCTGTTTCATAAGAGAGAGCCGAGGTGGCGCAGTGGTTAGAGTGCAGTACTGCAGGCTACTTCAGCTGACTGCTAGTTCTGCAGTTCAGCTGTTCAAATCTCACCGGCTCAGGGTTGACTCAGCCTTCCATCCTTCCAAGGTGGGTGAAATGAGGACCCGGATTGT